CCTCCTCCTCTTCCTCCTGCGACCTGCCCGACGTTGCCTCCCCTCCTCCTTCTCTCCTCAGGAGAGGCTGACAATAGGTCTATATTTAAGCACTCTAACCATAGATGGAGCTCAGCGTGACGCTTGCTGGAGAGCTGCACTGGAAAGAAAGAGGAGAAGTCAAACAGTTGTGACGAGGAATCACAGTCTCCGGTCTTTTCCATCAGTGGGATAAATTGTTGTTGTCATGGTGGCGATTGATTGTAAATGGGATAGAGGGTAAATGAGATGGACGTCTTGGACTTCAGGCGTAAAAAAAAAAAAAAAAAAAAATCACTTACAGTGATACATCGGATGACTCTGCTGAGGAGTCGTCTCAGCATTTTTTTTTTTTCAAAAGAAAGAAAGAAACTATTTTTCATTGCTGTCGTTTTGTTGCCTGTTGCCAGCTGCACTCACAGTTGCCAGTGACTTTGCCTATACAACACTTCTGGTGCCAGAAAAAATTGTGGCCAAGAACCGAGGGCCAAAATTGCAATTTAACTCAAAATGCATGTAAATGACTTTGAATTTTAACAACAGATCATGTTTGGATTCATATTTTCCATGACTGGGTTCACAAAGAACTGTTAGATATGATCACGGCCCGAGTGTGTTTAATTTTTAAATTTTTTAAAATTTCAATGTCCGACAATGTCAGTAAATATCACGACTGCTCTGTTATATTTGATTAGCAGCAAATATCTGAATGCCTTGCCACGTAATTCAGTCTGAGACACTGTGTTCCCAACATTTCGCACTGAGAGTGAACAGAGCTGACGCTTCAGTTCCTACCTGACAGAAATAAACTCTAAAAGGAAATAGAAAAAAAAAAGTGTCAAATTCAAAAGGCTGTGGTGAAATGCTCAGAAAGAGATTTTTCTTTTTCTTTTTTGCACACGACAAATGAAAGATGACCACTCTCATTTATTCAGTGCTCGGCAAAAGGTAAGTGTACTGTATGGATTTGAATGTTCTGTTGCCCCACCCCTGTATTGTATATCCTCAGAGATCTGCAACCTACTATACACCCACAGAGACCAGAAGCTTCTTCAGGGGCAGAAGAGAAGCCAGCCAGAGGAAAAGTGGGAAAAAAATGCAAAAAATACATCAAAAATCGCAGAGATTTTGAACCAAAAAACCAAAGCTGTCTTTAAATTTTCAGTCAAATACAGCAACGTAACATGTAGAACAATCCACTGAAAAAAGAATCATTCACGTGTGGCTAGTTCTATGCTAACTTTGTATGATTTGCTGAATTTAAAATGTGCGCACTAACACGTACGAGTGTGTTCTTTTTCTGTCCCTCTGCACAAAGGCCGCCTTTCTCTTCACCTCGGTCATGACCGCCTCAAACCTTAGACCACTGCAATCATCACATGTACTGAAGGGAAATCGAGGAATCACATTTTTTGTTTTTGCTCTGGTGCTGATTAAACACTTGGTCTAGTCGAGATACAAAGTCTGGAGATATCCAAAGGCCACGTAAGGACACGGACCGCGAGCAGAATGAACGTAGCCAGCCTCGTTCTCCGTGCCAGCCATCATCAAAGAGCGGACGCCTGTCCTCGTTTGCCCACCGCCCGAGAGGGAGCGCCAGCGTATGTGTCTGTGTCCGAGAGAAACCCCACCCTTCGCTGTTTTGCGTATGTACATTACGCACGTTAACGCAAAGGTGTGTTCCATGCAGAAATGTCATGCACACGATATACATAAATATATATAAATATATATATATATTCACTTACAACCCATTCATTTATTCGACCTCATGTTTCAATAAAGTGGTGGAGACCCACAGGAGTGACACCGGCAGAGAAAAGGTTAAAAGCAGAAAGAAAGGTGAGGGAATAAAAAAAAAAAAAGTCTAACAGACAAAGCACATGCCTGTCTGTGTGTGTGTGTGAGAGAGAGAGAGATAGAGATAGAGGGAGAGACAGAGAGAGAGAGAGTGAGAAAGTGTAGGTGTGTACGCATGAGTGTGTGAGGGTTCATTTGTGTTAATATACACACACACACATATATATCTATATATATAGAGATATATATGCAAATATATATATACATATATATATAAATATATGACATACTCACTCATGCTGCCTGGCAGAAGGACAAAAGGGAATAGATATAAATAAAATACTCTGTGTTTCTTTTTTTTTCTTCAGTCTTTTGTCTGTACCCAGGTATGACAGCCTCTCTCTCTCTCTCTCTCTCTTCATACCTCTACGTCTCGGTGCCAGGGCTGAACCCGTGGCCGCCATGCCGGGGTGTGTTCCCTGTGCCTGGTGGAGCCGGCACGTTGGACCCTGTCTTGCAGCCTTCCCCCATCAGAGAGCCGGAAAAGCGACTCTCTCTCTCTCTCTCGCGCTCGCGTGAGTCGGGAACCGAGTGGAAATGCTACATCAAGACTCACTGGTGGTGGTTTTTATTGTCACAGGGCTGTACCAACCGAGCGCGCAGACGGGGGGGGGTGGGGGGAGAGAGCCACGGCTAGGTGCTATGGATTCATATAGAACACCAGGTCCTACCATCAGCTGACAACACCCCCCCTCCCTCTTCATCCCTCAGCTCTCCTCCTCATCCCTCCTTCACTTCATCCCAGCATCTCTGATGACCCACTGTCTCCTCCCTCCTTCTGTGCCTCCCTCCCCCCTCCCTCCTTCCTTCCTTCCTTCTTTCAGTTCCACTCTTTTTTTCTCTCCTTTCTTTTTTATACATCTATGCATCCTCACTCCCCCCTCTCTCCCTCCCTCCCCCCTCCCTCCCTGCTCTCCCTCAGCTCAATGCAATTATAGTAATGGATTTTTCCCCCCTTGGTTGATGGCTTCCGACATCCTGTCTTGAAATGAGGCTAATCATGCTCTTAAGGGTCATGTTTAGTTAATGAAGGGTTTAAGAGGCACATATGGGTGAGGGCGTGAGGAGGTGGGGGGGCGGGGAGAGGGGGAGGGCATTCCTACGTGCCGGCTGTCTGTCATTGTGAACATAAAGCAGGCGTGTCGATGCTCACACGTCCACTCATTCACAGACACACACACACACACACGTGCATGTCATAAAGCTGCATTCACACATACATGTATCTGTGTGTGTGTGAAGAATGAAGACGGCACAGGATCCCACGTGCAGCCCAATCTACGCTACACACGCTCATTCACAAGCACATGGAGACGCACGGTTCACGCCGGCGGCCGATGGCGCCCGTCTGACACAGAAACAGGGACAGACGTGCCGAGCAGTGGAGCCGTGTCAGGAGTCTTTGTCTACATCAGCAGATGCTGTGGACTCAGCCGACTGCATCCAGTCAACACGCCATCGCTGCTGAGGGATGTGTGTGTGTGTGTGTGTGTGTGTGTGTGTGTGACAGAAGACAGGAAGACAGGAAGAGGGATGTAAATGGAAGTTAGAAAAAAAGAAAAACTGAGGAAAGAAGAAGGTGAAGTTTAACAGAGAAGCAATTCTATTTTAAATCAGCACCTGATGGAGGGGGGACAAAGCCAAAGAGAGAGAGAGAGAGAGAAAGGTGGACCGGTGTAAAGTGAGACGAGGACACAGAGACAAAAAATAAAACTGCAGTCGGACGCCATTTTTCTTTTCTCCCAGCATCGCTCATCGCCTCCGACGTACAGTTTCCTTTTCTGGCCTTGTCTTCTTTGTGTCTGAATTCATTTCAATTCTAAGGTTTTTTTCTTGCGTGTGTTTTTCACAAACGTATAATCAAGTTTCGTCTGATTGCAGACGTGAACTCGGCGACGGCAGAGACGGACAACATCGCTAGGAGCTTCTATATTCAATCTGAGAGCGTCATGTGTGGTGATGAGCTAATGTATCCATGCACACATCAATTATAATAATTAGAAAAAAATCATTAAAAAAAAAATCATTATTATCAAGTTTATAAAGAGACAAATATGAAATATAAAACCAGCTGCAGAGGTTGGATTTTTAAAATGTATTTATCATTATAATTATTTATGCTTTTATTATTAGTATATACATTTGTACGTTTATATAGATTATGTATATTGTTATTTAGTAACAACATTGTAACCATATTACAATGGTTTATGTACATGAAATAAAACTATTCAAAATATTATGATCTACACTGACAAAAAAAAATACAATATTAAAATAAATCCAATGCTACTGTGAATGATATATTATAACATTGTATTATTATTATTATTAAATTAACTATTATGATTTGAGACAAAAGTGATTCATTTTTATGAATAATTATCTTCATGTAATAAAAATAAATATACATATAAAACATTAAAATAATTTTATAGGCTAAAGTCAATGTGCCAGTTTGACCTAATTTATAGCTAAATATTGAGGTATATTTAATGTTAAAATAATAATTATTAGACTTTACTAACAACAAACAGCGACTGACAAAATTTCACCTTTAAATATGCATTTCCTATTTTACAACAATATTCACTTTAGGGCCAAACTATTTTTATTCTCACAGTGAAAGCTAATCCTGACAGTGATTAGATTTTTTTAAAGATTTTTTTATTTCTTTGTTGCAGGCTCCATTTCCAGAGTTCTGGTGCAATTCAGACTCGAACAACGCAACAGTCTGGACTTGCCTGGACCGGTCTGGACTTGCCTGGACCGGCCTTTGATAAGTCAGTATTAAATTTCCTCACAAGGAAGATGTTGACGATGTTAAGAACATTCTGCAATGCAGACGAACAGACAACAGACAGGAGGCTGTGCTGGTCAGTGCTGGTGCTGGTCTTAATATAAAGCTGTAGCTGGAACTGAGAAAAAGGGCTTTAAAATGACAGCGTTGAAACAAAGGACCGAAGGAGACAGCGCCACCTGAAGGGAGCGGCTGAAAGGAGGAACACTGCAAAAGCCTTCTGATGACACTGACAGTTTTATTATATATATATTGGTCTGTTAGCAGTGAAAATATGGTATGACTAATTTTCCTGATCTGCTTGATTCTGGAAATCTCAAAAAAAACTGATGATTTTTTGGCTGAGTTTGGAACATGTGCCAGTTCCCGAAGGCCCTGACTTTAAGAAAAGCTTTGCTTTGACACCTGAGCATTAATGCTTTCCATGAATCGATACTGATAACACACTGTATCAATAGGTTGTGTTTTGTTGCTCATGAAAAACCCTCTAAACAAGACAGAACATAAGGGTGTAAGAAAATATCGATACACTGAAATGTCATGACGTTAATTCATTTTATTCTGCTTCTATTTCTTCTCTAACCATTAAAATATAGATCACTCTGATCTGATATGTGTTTGTGTGTTTACTACGCTGACAGTGCTCATAAAAAACCCTCTAAACAAGACAGAACATAAGGGTGTAAGAAAATATCGATACACTGAAATGTCATGACGTTAATTCATTTTATTCTGCTTCTATTTCTTCTCTAACCATTAAAATATAGCTCCATCTGCTCCAATGCTTGTTTGTGTGTTTACTACGCTGACAGTTTGCCTAGAAATGAAATAGAAAATTATCTCCAGCATTTGAAAAGACAACCGAAAAAGCAACATGTTCTTGCAGAGAAAGAAGCAGAAAACCTGACGGCAAAGTGGGTCATGCAGTCCTGCATCTGGAGCTGCCACTGTCTATACTGGCCTCTATACTAAGATCCGGGCTAATTTGCGTCCAGCCATACACACAGTACATGCACGTCAGTCACACACCAACGCTCCCGGTACTACGTGTCGGAGAGTGCAAATGAAGAAGTGTGTGTGCGCTTGTATTTGTGTGCATACGCTGGCGTGGGAGAGAGAAAAGGAGAGAGCGCTAAATGTAAAGACAACAATGTATGTATGTATGTATGTATGTATATATATGTATGTGTGTATATATATATATATATATATTAGGGATGTCCCATAATATCAGCTGACCCATATTAGCTTAATGATGTAACATAAACCTAAAAATAGTTTTGAAGTGAAGGTGAAAGTATTATTTGTATTGTACACAGTATTGTCATTGTGACACAGCACAAAAACTGCTCATGATGAAACACGTCCTCAGCCTTTAACCCAAATGGCTGCAAATATCGGTTGCTATCGGAATCAGAAATTAGGTGTTTGGACAAGGTCGTCAAATTTTCACGAAATTGACTTTTTCTTACAACCCCAAGGACGTCTGGCTGTGTAGAAAGATGCAATTTATCTCCACATGAACAACATGTAATAGAAACAACAGCAGCAAGGCTGCACTGTATTATATTCAAGGCTTATATTCATCCAAATCAAACAGGAAAAAAAGATCAAATGCTCCTCTTGTAAACTAATCAATCAATCAATCAAATAACGATCTCACCAAGGACAAAAAATTTGATTTAAGATGTCGAAATATCATGTGAAATTCAAAATACATTCTATAAACCAACTGACCCGTTTTTAAGATTCTTCTATATGAAAATATATCATTCAAAAGGCTGCCAAGCTACTGAGGCAAAAGAGCGGCACTCCTTCGACAGTTAAGGATTTGTTGCAGGCCAAAAATCAGACAAACTTCCGTGGGCTTCAGTAACCCAGAGCCATGCTTTGTCGGGATTCATACCTGTATGTCGGTGTCTTTAACGGGCTCTAGGGGCTCGAAAGTGGTGGCAGCGCTGAGAGTTTCCAAACGCTGAGAAATGTGAAAGATATCTAAACCTCTGGAACCGAGGAGGATTGACCTGCGGATGAGAGAAACCCATAATGACGATGAGGAAATGTGACAAAAGGATTTGACAATTCTCACAAAGAAAGACTGTTGTTGTCCTTTAAAACCACTAGAGGGAGCACGAGATTTAAAATACTGCTGATGTGCACTCTAGTGATTAACAAAAAAACCTTTGGTATAAATTTTGCACATTGAACTGAGTTGGATTTATGAAAATAGATTAAACTGAAGTTCACTAGAGTAGATCAGATGCCAAGAAATATTCAGGGTTAATAAATTTAAATTTAATTTGGGATACATAATTAAAATTTTGCAGCGGAAGCATGGTCTGATAGGAGCCAAAAATTGCATCCTTACGCTTTGACATCAGCAGCATCTTGTGATGTGCGAGTCAGGGTGCGGGATCGCAGCCTTTCTCCTGCCTGCTGAATCTCCTGCAGGTTCCTCTCCACATGTGGCAGTTCAGACACTGCTTCTGTCTCTGCAGCCAGCTGCTCCGCCTGCTGCAGCAGCTCCCCAAAGCCCTCGGCATCCATATCTCTGAAGACAGAAAGAGGGTTAGAGTTTATCAAAATGGATAAAACAATAAAAGATAACGACCACATCTATTCAAAGAACTAAAACATATTTTCCCATGATAGTATAGGCACTTTTGATCTAACACCAAGGTTCTTATATTTGTCTTTCAATTACGTTCCCCAGTTTTTGCCACAGAATATCACCAGCATCTGTGTGTCTTGCTCTCTTCTTCCTCTATTGTACACCTCATCCACTGTTACTCCTCCAAATAAATCTATAGTGTCTCCTGTCTGACAACTTCATTCTAACTTTAATTCCCTCAAATTTTAATCCCCAAACTGTTAACCAAACTACTGTAAAACAATATACAAGAAAATACAACACACATTTTGACAGCTGATGTGAACAGATTGACAGCTTCGACAAGCGTGTGGAGAAAAGTGACAGTAAATAGTACGCTAACCTTGGCTAGTAAGAATAGTTTAAAAACTATATTTACCAAAACAGTAAACATCGGTTTAAATACATTTTCTGGCTGTAAAAAATAAGACGCTTGATCTGACATTTCATTGTCTTTATCGCCGGTAACAATATACCTGCTTATTTTTGTATTTAAATGAATGGCGCTCTGCAGCTAGCCAGCATGCTAAAATGCTAACGTCTCACATGCGCGGAGTGAGTCAGTTTGAAGCCATTGTACGTTTAACGTAGTATCTTTGTATCTACATACCTGTGTTATAGGCCGGTGTTGTTGTGTTGTTTCTGTTTTACAAGCTGGGAATTAATTGGTATTCCGCGGTGTTGGGGTTTATTTGAAAGAGAAGCACAACATGCATCAAAAAAATGTCATTTGGCCCGGCACTCGCGGAGCCGACGCTGATTGGACGACACCATCTGGGTACCGGAAATTGTCCTTGCTCGTTGGTATTTACAGCGTAACCAAATTATAGGCACCAACTCTGCAGCGCAACTTGTTGGCCTGGAGTTTTCGAACAAATTGGTGGAAGTCTACGTGAATTTTTATTAAATCAATTTAATGAAAAGCATTTTTTTAAAATCCGTACCTTTATAATGGACTTAATTTTTTTAACGTAATTAAAATAGGTAATGGGGCATATAAAATATATTTGTGTTTTCACTGATAAATGAAAATCTATGCAATAATAACATTCAACAAACTCCAATCTTTTTTTGCCAATTTCTGGAGTTCATCTGTCAAAATCCTTTTACACCTTGACTAAGATAACACATTTCGTAACTCCTCTGGGGTCAAGGTTGTATGACCAACTTTACCAGAACAGGAACAGGTCAGTGAAACCTTAGATAATAGTAACTGGCGTTATCTGTGCAAACATGGTGACTGTGAGCAAACTAGGTCACAAATGTCTCTTTTAATTTTTGTTTTTCTAATTTTTTTTAATGAAATGTTGTAGAAAACAAGATTTACTGCATATAACAATGAACCAGTAGTTACTTGCTAATTGATTTATTGTCATTGACTATAAGCTATAGCATACAGTATAACAATAGAGAAAAGAAGTGACAGAAAATTGCTAAACTTATCTTATTACTTTTGCCCACAGGAGTTTGCCCAATGAAATGTTGTGCACAGCATGGATTTCATGGTTTAGTTGCCCAGATCTCATTTGTATTTGTTGGTGTGTAGACAGAATTATGTTATTGTCAGAGAGGTATGTAGAAAACACTGACTTGTTTCGCAGTCTTTCTTCAGCCTCATGAATCCACTCACTGTTGGTAGTTTGAATGTAAGCCAAGGATCTCAATCACTGGCTTTGTGTAATCCGTTGCTTGGTGTCCTGTCATGTGCAGTACAAACAGCTCAGAGCTGTTTATTTATTCAGTAAATAAAGAGAACAGTCAATAATGAAAGGGAGAAAACAGATAATTTTTAGTTAAAGTTTGAGACTTCTCTTTGATTATTAAAATTGGAATCCTTTGAATTTGAGTGATTTTTTTTATTTTTGTGCTGAAGTTATAGAAGTCCTGTGATTTTTAGAAAATAATGCATTTTCACAAAGACGTTTTCTTTGTTGGTTAAACAAGCAAAGGAGACATTTTTTAATAGCGAAAAATAGTTTATTCTGTGTCAAACTTTTGCAGAAAGCATAAAAAACACAAAGAATTCTCTTCCAAAGATCACCATCTTACCAAAACTCACAACATTGTTTTCAACATCACATGTCCCCAGAAATATAGATATTTACAACCTTCAGTCTGTCATTTTGTGCTCTATGCGCTGTTCTGAGTCACTGTACAGTGAGTACGCTAACACTCCATAACAAACATTTGTTAGGTGGTCTATAAAACTATAACTAGAGAATCCCTATATGTGACTGTTAAATCCAATCATCTGAATGGATCTGTTGACTTTACTGAACCTGTAATTTAAATGTTTAAGTGATGGGAGAACATCAGGGAACTTATAATAATAAACAACATAACAGGGTCGGAGGAGTTTCTATAGCAATTTTGCTAAATATTTATAATCATAATAATAGTAATCACAAAAGACAGTTTAAAGCAAACACAGTCCAGTCCGGTGCTCACGAGGAATCAGTCTCTGAGAGTTCAACTCCTGATTTACACCAAAAAAATAAACTGTTCCGATGAAGTAAATGCTTCAGAGTTTGGTTTAAACCGAACCGACAAAGTGAATTATAACAACCTAAAGAAGCAGTATCTGGGAAACAGTACAATACACCTATGTCTGTGCTCCCTGCATGTGACTAGATCACTCGACATGAAATGGGCTCTCTATTTAAACTGGTTGTCAATAAGTGTCCCCTTCATCTTTGCCTTCTTGGCCTCCAGCTCAGCCAACTCCTGCAGCCTCCTCTTGCTCATGCCCTTCCTCTCCAACTGCTTCTCGATCACTTTGGCGTTCTGGGCGTAGGAGTCGGCCACCTCCCGGGCCTCTATCTCCTCCTCCTCCTCGTCTATGGTGGACACCGTGACGGAGCTGAACTTGCCCATGTCCTTTGTCCTCTTGGTCATCATCACACGGACTTTCTTGGGAGCCTCTGGCGGCTTCTGACTGTACACACTGGTGTTGCCGAAGCCCTGTCCGAACTTGACCACAGCTCCGTCCACGATAAACGTGGCCGGGCTGTTTTTGTCCTGATGGTGGTAGAACAGAAACAGTCCACACTTTCCACATTTCTTGCGGTGTTGCTTCTCGATGCCATCAGGTCTCTTGATGTATGTGTTCTCGTCCACGTCCACGTTGCAGAATTTATGGGCATGTTTGGCCGCGTCGATTACCCTGGCCTTGTCCCTGGGCCTCATGGGTAGTTTCTCCAGTTGACAGTCCAGCACCAGAACCATCTGGCCGCACAAACAGTAATAGACGTGAAGAGGCTTCTCACCGTCATCGTACTCTTCTCTGTCTCTGGTGTCTGAACACACCACACTCCTGGACACGACTTTCGGCATTTCGCGTATTTAAGTTTGTCTACGATATAATGTTGTACGCTGAAAGCTCCTAACTAAAGCCACATAACGATGAAAACACAATCTTACTGATTCTGTTCGACGGAAACGCAAAAACAACGCCACACTTCCTGTGTACGTCTCCGTCACTGTTCCGGCGACGTGTCTTTGTTTCCGCGTTACGGAATAGTTCCGGCTAGTCTGCGAGCCTTAAAAAAAACGAAAAAAGGATTTAAATTCAAACTCTACGTCTCAAAATATAACCTGTAATATTTCTCAACATTTAAAAAAACTACACAAATATTTACATAAAACATGGTTCTGTTTTATAATAATCAGAAATGGCGAAATGAAAGTTTTCCCTAAGATCAGTATTTTAAAGACTTACAAAAGGAAGTTTACTTTAGGAGGGAAGATGTTTTTAAATGCAGGGGTAAAATTTAATTTCAAATTTTGTTCTACTAGACTTTACTTCGAAGTCGAATATTTAGCATTAATTTCTAGGTTTTATTTATTTTTTATTTTTTTTGCCAAGTACATTTATACACAGAATTTGATATTGGTGTATTACTAGATACAAAGCTTTATACACTTATCCAGCCTTTTAGTATTCAGACCAAGTATGAACACTTGATCTAAGCACCAATCACAAAAAGGGGAGGCAATTGCCGCCTCAGCCTGTTTATACTACCATTGATTTGCCCCAATTTAGATTACACTTGACCAAAAATAGTCAGGCCAGGATCCCTAACACACAACACAATGACCTTGAGTTCACCACTACCATACAGTACAGTTATGTAAAACACCAGACTAGGTATCAGTAACATCTTTAATAGTGGAAAGAAGTACAAAATACAACATAATCTTAGACATTATACAGTTAATTTGGACTAGTCTAGTTCATTGTTGGCGGCCCCGCTGGGCTGAGTCTGCCCTCCTCACTGACAGCAGCTGGTGTCACATGTCTTCCCTTTGCAGACGCAGCCAGAGGCACATTTGCTGCATCCAGATGGGCAGCAAGAGCAGCAGCCTGTAACAAGGTCAAAATGTTGTTTTAGTTCATCAGTAAGTGCAGGGGAAACTGGCAAAACACACCTCAGACACATTTGTTTACATCATAACTACAATGCATTTTCATTGTATGGCACTTTTTTTTTTTGGCACTCACATCTACTTTGGTGCAAATGATTATACAATTATGATACATGTAACAGCTAATGACTCATTTACTATCTAAAAATGAATACTACATTTCTTAGCATAAATGATCTTAATATGAATTTTGAATTGTAGCCATAAAGCCATTTTGGAATTAAATATTTCTGCAAATGCTCATCTTGGAGATGTAGCCTCCTCTACCCAAATTTATTTTGAGTATTTTAAATTTCTATTTTACATTAAAACAAAAACTTCTTTAGCACACCTGTATTTACTTGTGTGCAGAATAAAAATTGACCTTTTGGTGTTAATTGGTCATCAAGGTGGAGCATGTATTTTAAATGCGTCTAAATTTGATTCAATCAAGCCACTTACAGCCATTTGTCCCTTTCCTAACACACGAAAAACCGAACATTGAAAAGAAACTGCGATAAAATTTGTCGTGTTTCTACTGCCTCAAGGTTCATTTAACCGAGAGATTATCCTACACATTAAAAAAATGAATATAACTTACTCTTTTTGCAGGATTTGCAGGAGCAGTTAGTGCAGGTGCATGATTCTGCGCAGCTGCAGGTTCCAGCTACAAACACATACAAATGTAAGTCAATCAACTCAGCAGTAAAAAATAAAATAAAATTTGTTCAGACACGATGACAAAGGGAATACTCACTCTTGGAGCATTCGCAGGGATCCATCTCTGATCAGATCAGGTCAACTTCGTCTTCTTCCAGATAGTAATCAGCTGTGATGTCTCTCTCAGATGAGTGAATGTTGTGTTTCAACAGCTTGACATGCGGCTCTTTTATAGCAGCGCAGAGGACAACAGTGCCGTGTGCACAACATTCGGTCACGCTGCACGCCTGCACGTAGTTCATGATTACAATGGAGTTTGTGCACACGATCTCCCTCCACCACAGTGTGGAGCTGTGCGAAAATTCTCAGGGTAAAAGAACAAATATTGTCGTCTGAAAGTTACATAAGAGCCCCTGATGGCCCCCGCCCCACAAAGTACCACCAGTTTTATCCCCGAGATAATGAAGCCATGCCAGGATAAATGATGTGTTTACACGAAGAAAAACACCATTATATAAGAGAGACGCATGTTTATACTGTTGACTTTTTAATTAAAAACAAGATTATTATTATTATTGAATATAGAATGAATAGATCGATCCAGACAAAAAACAATTTGATAATTTTTGCCTAGCTATTAATCACGTATCATAATTTATTATACATAATGTAATATAGTACACATACTATATGTTTGCAAATTGTTTTGTACCAAATCTGTATTTGGTACAATATTTATACTTTTTTACAATATTAAAAATAATATCACACTTTAAACTTTAAATTATAATCAAACAAAAATAAACGTGTGACATGTTCTTTTAATATATATCATGTGTCACAATGTTGAGAACTGCCATACGTCATACTTGATGTATAAAAAGTACATGTTCTCTTTTCCATTTTTTAAAACTTTTTTGACTGTCGCTCTAATCTAATCTGACCGTTATTATTTGATTATAAGAAAATAAGACAAACAGTTTACATCTAGAAACCGAAATTATAGTTTAACATTTTAATCACGCGGTGATGTTTTGGTCCTCGTCATTGTGAGTGTGTGTGAGGTGGGGAAATGCCAAGGGGGGGCTATACACACGACACTGTCTGTTGTTCTTCCCGCGCTGCCGCCTGAAACTCTGCACCCGACACCGCACAGAATAAACAGAAGACTTTTGTAATGGTGCCTTCACGGACCGTGTGCAAATACATTCCTGTGCGGTGTGCAGATTGGCACTGCACATCATTTTGTGTAATCTTTTATATATATCGAAACATTCCGTATAAAAACACACCGTTGTGTAATCTTTTATATATATCGAAACACTCCGTATAAAAACACACCGAATGTAATAACCGAATGTTATTGTTCATTGAGATATTTCTGTCCAGTTAAATATGTATGTACACTGTATTTAAGGCGACGTTAAATACAGTGTTGGTTTTAATAAAGTGGCGACAACTATTTTAATTGTTGTTTTAAAGTCCATCAAAACACTGTACTGTTTATGTGTCGGGTTTAACGTTACTGGTTCAAAATGCATTTTAATATTCATATAACTCCATAAATGTTCCTTTAAATAAAGAAAATAAAAGTGGAAGATTATTTAGAACCTTGAAGGCAGCACCTAGTTTATGCACTCGTTACTTTTCTGTGACGCCGTTTCTCCACGTTCTCTAGTCATTGTGATGGTAAATGTCACGAGTCGCTGAGTCATTGTGGAAAGAAATACATGTGCAAAATCAATAGTGTAACAGGTGAAAAGTATATTTGGAGGATGTGTCATTACACAATCATTTATCGTTGTTTTTTATTAATAAGTGAATAATTTTTTAAAGGTGCTATACTGTATATGTGTAAGTTTTAACGTTTTAAGTATGTATTTTTGATTCCGTCCCGTTTTTTTTCTTATTTTTTTTTTAAATCAGACTTTTAATTGGGCATTGTTTCCTTTCTGTAGTAATTCGGATACTTGACGTCACAAATTTAACCTATTATCAAATTAAACCTGCATGGTATTTATAGACAAGCTATTTATAGTAACCAACTCTAGAGGGAGACATTCGCACATTTTTGTGTGTATACAACTCACATATACAAACAGATTTTTGTTTATAAATGGCATTTTAAACATACTTTGTGGTTTGGAAATAAAATAACATGTTATGGTACAGGTTTTTATATTTATACATTAACCCTTACTATAAAATTATTTTGATAACTGATCATTTTGTTAAATATTTTAGTTTTTAATACAGGAATAATTAACAAAGGTTCCCAAAGTCTCAGTATTTCCCACTTCAGCATATGGCAAGCAAAGTGACTTGGTAGCTGGTAGCGATGGTGCAGTTCTTGCTATGGCAAGCAAAGTGACTTGGTAGCTGCTAGGGGTGGTGCAGTTCTAGCAAGAAACGTTCTGAACTCACACACAATAAACAAAAACATTTTACTACAACTACAGACAATATTTCACACTGTTGGATCATTTTGGTGGGTCATAAAGACACCCTTCAGCCCACATTGATTATGTCTGGAAGATCATGGGAAAGTCCGCAAATAAACAGTGAAAATGACTGACATTTTCAACATTCAAAACTTCTCCAAGATGTTTCAAGAGAGGACAAAACAAAGAGAACAATGTTGTGATTGTTCCAGGACCACACAGAGAGAGAGAGAGAGACGGCAAAATGAGATGTTTAACATGGGCTGCACTTGAAGTGTTCAAGAGCACTGACCAGAAATACAGTGTGTGTGATGTAAAATCAGACAAGGAGCACTTCGTTTCACATCTGTCTGGTTTTAAAGCAGACACTGGAGCGTATAAATAAAGTGGATTTTTCAGGAAGAAAAAAAAAATCAGTCTGTGCATTCAGCTGCCACTGCTCGGTGTGTTTTCGTGAAGACTCTGCAAGGCGAGGTCAGTCCACTTCATCTCCTGTTCTTTCACAGATTCTGTCGAGCCTCCATTGTCCTGCTCTGCCTCTGGCAGTTCGCTCTGACAGAGAATAAGAACAAGTTGTCGTGATAAGTTCTGCACTACAAAGGACTTAATTACAGTATTTACGAATATCAGGTAAACTGCAGCCAAGTGTTGATTGAAACTATATAACATCCGACTCAGAGATCTAGCAGAATACTGTTTAATATATTTGAAACGGCATTTATTTAATGCAAACCGTAATGTACCAGAGGGATGGTGACATCGTCATACGGCAGTTTGTCTTCTCTCCAAGCATCATCGGTGAGGTCCAGGACTCTCCCGTCTCTCTGAATTTCACTGTCCATTCTGCGATGCGCTATCTCGTTAGCTTCAGGCTAACTGCACCAACAACAGTGTTAGAAATTCGAGAAGGCCTTCAACGTCCGTCAAAAACGACACTAACGGAAGTTACCAAGACAGAAACAAGTTAACGGCATGAAAAATTACCTGTTAATTGACAACAGCAACTGAGTTACGACTTGTTTAAATGACTGAAAGTTGTAAAAGTCGCGGAAGTTGAACGTAAACAGTGAAGCTGGCGCTTGGTGATGACGTAGTCGTTGTTGTCACCGGGTTGTAGGACTAAATTGTCTTTTTACGGATGTATTTAGACAATTGCCGGTTGATTTTAAAAGTCTAAAGTTAATCACTGGATCTTAAACATAAACGATTATGATGCTGATTAAGAACAAAACATTTTTTGTAAATTATTGGGACTCTGGACACAAATAAAGCTACAGGGAGCAACAAGTTGAAATATTTGTGAATTATCCTCAACCAGAACTAAAGGGTGTTTCCCATAAGTTAGTAAATAATTATGTCAGGTAGTTTTACACGTTATATATGCAGTCTGTGTATACATATAGTATGATATTCTGATATATACTATTTTTGTGAAATTCCACACTGTACAAGACCATGGATACAATGATACAAATTCTTTATGTATTGCATAGCTGCAATTTTTTTTATTATAAATAGAATAAGGCACCATCTGAACGACCAAGAAGAGAAAAATCACATGAAGCCAGGACAGGTACATGTGATAACATGTAAGGAAGTCCTTAACATGAAAGGTTTTTTTTTGTAATCGATACTGATGATGTCACCAAATTTAGACAGTAGCCAAGATGTGCAAAAATTCAAGGGGAAAATTTGTGGGGCAGACTCATGCAAAAAAGGTATTAATTATGGGTTTTATCTGCTCGTAATTATCTCAATCAACTAACCAATCAAACAATCAGCTGACTGGGAGGCTGACCAGCACTAAACCAGCACTGAGCCATGCCAAAAGGTTTGAGGCACCAAAGCAGTGTAACAGATGTAAATTTGTTTCACCATATTTAAAAGAAATCACAGAACAACTGTGCAACTGAACAACTGATTCAAATCCCAGCTGACGTGATGTCCGGCTCCCAAAAGACGGGAGCAAAAACCAGCAAAACTCCGGAAAAGGTGGACTCTCAAAAGCAGCAGAAAAAAAAGAAAGGAAATTCTGGAAACCCGGTATTCACCTTCACCCCAAAGGTCCTTGAACTAGAATTGAAACCGAGACGCATGAATCCCTTGTACAAGACCAGTAATGGCACCTACGGCCTTTACACCACCACCTTCGAGGGTGGGCGCCGCGTTTACTATCCCAAAACAGACAGATTTTCAGAGCATCTGAGGACGATAGGTATGCATCGTAACACGTCCTTCGTCACATCCATGAAGAAGAGCAGAGTGTGTGACACCACTTTGCAGCATACACTATTGATGGAGGATAGTTAGACTGCTCAACAGAGAGCCATGTTTTCAATTCAGTGTATTTACAACTAGTGAACACAGTGAAAGTGTCTAAATTTAAATTTTGTGACATAGGAATAGAATGTTTATGATGGATAAAGGCTAACGTCAAGCAACGAGATGAAGAGACTTTGCGGAAGAACAGGTCAAGGCATGTGAGCATTCTCTTGTTTCACAGCATAGTATGGTTTAATCACGTGCCTGAATTTCAGTTTGAATACTGTGAGCAATGCTTTCTCAAGGTGCAATTCAGTTGCCCAACGTCTCAGTTAAGCTGATCTGAAAAGTTGTTCAAACATGATCTTCTAGTGTTGACATAATGGGCAAGGTTGGATCACATTCTGGAATGTAGACCTACATCCTACTGTTAGTACTTCATGCTCACCTGTAATTCCTTGTGCAGTAGAATTGTGATTTTCAAGAAGATCATGGGAAAAAAAGCATCCACATTAAATAGTTTATAGTGCAAACATGGACTAGTCCATGATTCTAATGTTTAAATACTTTACAAAATGACCAGTCTAGGACTTCACTGGTTCACTGGTTCACTGATTCACTGGTTCGATCCTCAGTCTTCATACATCGACTCTTTATCTGTGCGTTGATTTTCTTGAGCTTATCCAGTTTCCTCCTGCACTCTAAAAAATATGCAGGATAAGGTAAAGTGGACACTCTAACACGACCACATATAAACAAATATAAACAAATGTTGAATGCTGAAAAACCTTCTGGTGTGCACAAATGTACATAATGTAATGTATAAAACATATGTGATATCTTTCTGTACAGTGCTCTTTGTCCAAAGTTTTATTTTCACTTTCAGAAATGTGTTGTCATAATAAAGTTTGAATCTTAACAAGAATTTGAGCTGTAGATGTGTGTTGCTGCAGCAGCATTTTTTTTATATATAAACCTGTGAAAATCACACAGTGCTCAGTGTTGAGGATATGACATTGAACTGGACACTGAATAATTTCAATGCTGAACTTGGAATAAGTCGAATGAAATGGGGTTATAACCTGCAGCTGCTTTCATCTTCAAAGCCTTTACATCATGAGATGTATAACACAAATGGACCAGCACTTGTTGCTGTGAGGTGAAACTAGAAGTCACGTGTCATTTTACACCACAACATTAAAAGAAAATGAATGTGTGGATGTGAAAAAGACAACACAAGCACTATATATATATATATTCACTTTGACATGGTACAGATAGCCAAAATTAGACCAAAAGTTTTGTATTATTAAAAACGTGTTTTCCTGCCCCAGTGTCGCCTACTCCTCCTCCTCCTCTTCCTCCTCCTCCCTCGCCAGCTTCCACCTCCTCACATACAGCTGATGATGAACCAGCCTTTTAACATTAGCTGCCAGCGCTACGGAACAAAGCTAACGCCTAGCGTCATAAAATCTGTACGTGAGAGGACTTGTTAGCTCACTCGTCATGTGACTGATCCGCTGTGTAGGTTTTGATCACATCTTTATTTTTTATTTTTTGGGTAGTTTCAGGTCCCCTTTTCTCTGGCGTAGTCACGTTACTAGCTGTCTTGCCTTGTTTGACAGCGGAGTCAGAGTAGTGATCAGCTAACAGCTAGCAATAGCCGGTTGGCGGCTACCGTACAGCGTGGCTAACCACACAGGTTCCAATTTAACTAAAGAACCGCAGGTCCTTCTTTAAGGGTTAATGTAAGTATATATCATTTTTACATTTTTTTGATTATTATATAGAAGTGTTGGACTGTGATTCTAGGCAAGAGCAATGGAATTGTGTAGTGTTAACTAGCTGGGTGGCTAACACAACTCATAGGCTAGGAAAGCTATTGTTTGTCAACAGTAATGAAGTTTTTACGCCCTTTTTCTGATAGTGGTAAATAACTGCCAATTTGGGATGGATCTCAAATAAATAATAGATGTGTGGCTTAAACCAGATACAGGTAGTATACAATGTTTTGAAATTTCGCGTATTTATTTAAAAAAACTTGATGTTTTTTTTTGTTGCCTTTTGGCCGGTTTTCATGTCAGAAAACTATTTTAAATGTCACCATTTAGCATATCAAATAAAGATCGTCACTAAGACTTAAACTTATATTGTGTACATGTGGAGCAACCTTCTCATTTCATCTTTACTTTTTTTTTTCTTTATTTCTCTCCATGTATTAGCTCAGTCTGGTAAAGCCTAAATCCTGTCCACATTTGTGAGGCAGATTATAATCTTAAAAATGAAAATACTAGCCATGATTAATGTAATTGCCTTTTTCTCTTTCGCTTTCACAGCTGCCTGTGCTCAGATCAAGAGCGGGACATCAAGCCGGTGTTGTTTATGATGATCAGACCATATCCTGGTGCAGTGTTTGAAGCCCCGTGGTCCATTTAACCTGCCATATTGTATTACACACTGTCTTTTCATCTGCTTGGAAACACTATGATAATTTACAGTAACCCCACCTTGCCCACTAGGGCAACAGTCCTCAAAAAGCAATTTCTCCAGATGATATGATAGTAGCCGCCTGGATCACTTACTGTGCCTGTAGGAGTTTTGGAAGAGTTCTGCTCTTCCTTTCCACCACAGACTCCCCCCATTCAGTCTGGAAGACCTTTGTCTGCGTGGTCTCTGGCAGTGGAACCATGGGTAACAGTTGTGTGTGCCGGGACGACAGTGACGTAGATGACCACCATGGGTCGACCAGAGCCACTCGAGGACAAGTGAGACGAGGGGACCACGGCACAGGACTGGGCGTTGAAGCCGGCGAGCCGCGAAGCAGTCGTCCGAGGGACCCGGTCAGACCCCCTCGCCGTGGTCGTGGGCCACATGAGCCTCGGAGAAAGAAACAGAACGTGGATGGTTTAGTGCTGGACACACTGGCTGTGATCAGGACACTTGTAGACAAGTAAGACCCGTAATGTCTCAGAGAAAACTAGAAACTGAAATACTATCTGTAGACAATTAAAGGACAGGAATAGGTTTTTTTAAAAATAGAATTATTTTTCATTATTTTTGTTAAAATACATTTGGAATGATATTATACACTATTGTCCAAAAAGCTGACCCTGCCTTCGCGTTCTGGTTAGTAAAATGAAAACTATGTTCAGCCTGGGGGCACGTCAGGACGTGACAACACCCCCGCCATCCAGTTAATTAGACATATAGGCAAGTCCTGACCTCACAGTGGGGGAGACCTCAGTCGTAAACACAATAACAAAATCCCAAAGGCCTACTGACTTGTTTATATTATCTCAGATGCAACAGTCATAACAGGACTGTAAGCATTTCAGCCATTAGCACAAACCACATACACAACAGAGCCAGTATAAATGAAGAGCAGTCGTATGTACCATGTACTCAGCTGTTTTCTCCTTTCTTTCAGTGACCAAGAGCCTCCTTACTCCATGATCACTCTTCATGAAATGGCAGAGACTGGTAAGACTCTGAAACACATCTCTATTGCTGTCAATGCCCGAATGAGATGAAAATGTTTTGTTTTTTTGCCAGGGATGTAAGATGCTGCTGCTTCACTTCTCCTGTCTCAGCATTTTTTATAGCACTGTCACTGCTTTAGCTTCAAGCTATATTCTACGTGAGAAAAATGCTTGGTCATAGCAGGCATCATGTGTCGTCCACAATGTCAAACCTAGGAGACTGAGACAGTAATGGACCGTATTTCTTTTCTTTTTTTGTTAGCGGCGTATGATTAAGCTCAGCTGATGTTGCTGTCTCTGTGGTTGATCTGTTGTGCATCTGAATATGATTCTCTTGCACTTTATTTGAAAGGTTTTGGGTGTATGATTGATTGGTTTTCACCCTCGGCGCCCCCCTCTGTTGTGTTTGAGGCTCTTGTGGAGCAGTGTTTTGCGTCTCATCTGTAGCCGAGCTCTGTGTTAGGTGGCAGACACTGTACCCTGAAGGCAGCAAAGCAGTGAGTCAAGTCAGACAGCGCAGCCACTTTCTGTTTGATGTGTTTGTGCTACCTGCTCTGTTACATTATTCAAGAGCCTGTTGGCTTTCATAGGTGATAGGGTTAGTGAGTGTGTCTGTTACTGAGTCACTTAATGGACAGGAAATGAGTCTTTTTGCAGTTGTGCAGCGTCTGATCTTCAGGATGCAGTCGACGGCCTCAGGCAGACGTCTTTGTCTCTCCTGGTTTCAGCCTGATTTATGAACCTAATATATTACTTTAACAAAGCTTCACAATTTCAAACATCCCCACTAGGGGGACTAAACTAGGGACAAATGGAGCTTCTTCTTCTTCTTTTTTCATTTTTTGCAATGCAGATAAACTTTATTTCTGTCATAGATGATGGTTGGCTAGAGGTTGTCCAGTCCCTCATTCGAGTGATTCCATTGGACGATCCACTGGGCCCAGCAGTGATCACCCTTCTGTTAGATGAGTGCCCACTGCCAACTAAGGTACGTTTTTTTATAATCTGTTTGTGTTAAGAAAAAAATTTATATATTAAATATATAGAATTCTTTCTATATGTGAAAGGATTATATGTGGTTTAGAGTGATAAAAATGTGACAGACAGATGAGTTTGGCAAAGGGAATACGTCCTCTATGTGGGTTAGAGTGATAAAAATGTGACAGACTGATGTGTTTGGCAAAGGGAATACGTCCTCCCGTCCTTCCCGTCCTCCACAGACCGTAGAAAAGCAGTGTGTTTATCTGACATTGACTCTGTGACTCAGCCAGACGTTTCGCTCTTATCTCCTGCACATGTTTGGATGTTTTTTATCTTCTTATCTGCTTTTATTCTCCTACTCCTCCCTTTGACTAATTACATTTGATCCTGTCTTCAGGACGCTCTGCAGAAACTCTCCGACATGCTGAGTCTGAGTTCAAGCGTGGCGAAGCAGGACGCTCTGAACCCTGCGAAACACAGAAACACCACTGCTGTCCTGGGATGTCTGGCAGAGAAACTGGCTGGTACACAGGAGCTGTTTTCTCTCTGAGTCTAAATGTCCTACAGTTGTGGTTCTGCTCTCTAACTCCTTCTGTTTTCCAGGACCAGCCAGTATTGGACTGTTGAGCCCAGGAACTCTGGAGTATCTTCTAGAAAGCCTGGTGAGCAAACAGTCAAACCCAACAATGTCGATGAGATTTTTTTTTAAAAAGAGTCAAGACAAGCTGACGTTTGTTTGATCTTAACTGCTTCTATACTATAGTTTAAATGTGTCTCTCGTGTAAATCTTTCTTCAGAGTTCTGAGTCCCACCCCACAGTCATGCTGTTTGCTCTCATCGCTTTGGAGAAGTTCTCTCAGACGAGTAAGTCCACACACACAGGTGTTCTGTGACTTGTTTCCATTGAACGTCACATTCGTTGTCTCTGTCTTCTCTGTGTCAAAGCTGTGTTGAAGTTTTCAGCGTTAGTCTTATCCACCTGAGTCGTACTGTATCGTGTCCTTCATCTTCAGTTCAAAGTCAGTCACGTTCTTATCTGTGGTTTGTCCACACTTTTAAAATCCATTGACTTCTCTCTCGTAGGTGAGAACAAACTGACGGTGTCTGAATCCTGTATCAGTAATCGACTCGCTGCCCTGGAGGCGTGGGCGGACCATTCCGACTACCTGAAGAGACAGGTCGGATTCTGTTCGCAGTGGAGCCTCGACAATTTATGTGAGTAGCATCAGTGGTTCTGTTGTCATGTTTGTTTGTTTACAAAGTGCTAATTGTTGTCCTGCCGTCCCGTCTCAGTCCTTAAAGACGGTCGTCAGTTCACCTACGAAAAGGTCAACCTCACTAACGTCAACGCCATGCTCAACAGCAATGATGTCAGCGAGTACCTCAAGATTTCCCCCACCGGTCTGGAGGTCAGTCTGTGTTTTTGGCTCAGATTAGTCAGCGTTGTGGCAGCAGTTCACTCCCCCCCCCCCCCCCACTGTAAATATAATTGATCTTTATCTTTTTCTGCTGCTGTTACCAGGCTCGATGTGACGCCTCGTCCTTCGAGAGCGTTCGCTGTACCTTCTGCGTGGATTCAGGCGTGTGGTACTACGAGGTGACGGTCATCACGTCAGGAGTGATGCAGATTGGATGGGCCACCAAGGACAGCAAGTTCCTCAATCATGTAACACTTCACACTTTTATCTTTGTCGATTCTGCTTCCTTCTTTTTTTTCTCACTGCCAACTCATGTTTGTGTGTATCTGTGTGTGTGTATCTGTGTGTGTGTGTGTTCCAGGAGGGTTATGGAATAGGTGATGATGAGTACTCGTGTGCGTACGATGGCTGCAGGCAGCTCATCTGGTACAACGCTCGCAGTAAACCTCACTCTCACCCCTGCTGGAAGGAGGGTATGAACTACGTCCTTTCTTCATTATGAACTCATAGGAAAAACATGGCGTTAAAGTCAACGCAGGTCAAAAAATGTTTACAGACGGACCCTGCAACCAAACTTAATTTAAAACGCATCTTTCAGGCGATGCCATTGGCTTCCTGTTGGACCTCAGCAAGAAGCAGATGATCTTTTATCTGAATGGACACCAGCTGCCCCCAGAGAAACAGGTCTTCTCCTCCGCCACGTAAGTCCAGTCCAGTACGCCGTAAATGACGACGTTCACGGTTTGAACTAAGGTTTCTAGGAATATATAGAAAACATATAGATAATAAACATGTACCTAGAATAAAATGTAATAGATATCACAAGTATATATACAGTGCATGAAGTGTAAGTGTGAATTTTAAATGTGCTAGACAGAATCAAACATTTAACAATGAAATCAGAATATTGCAAAAAATGTTGCACATATTGAAACTTTATTTTGTCCTTTCTCTCTTTACCCCCCCCCGCCCCCT